TAAGCTTGTTGAGCAAACAAGACAGTGTATCATCTATTGATTTTAATTTTGAATGTTATTTTATTTGAATTATGGCTGATAAGGACTTTTGCTAATTATTATAATAATTGTTGGTCTAATTCCTTCTTGTTAATTTGTTTATTATGCCTTTATTTTGCTTATGCTTGGCGGGGTCATTATTAAGTCTCGTAAAGATGACTTGGCTACATTATCTATTGTCGAATTTGCAAGAAATGTTGCATAAACCGATCTTTATACATTAATTATTATAATAATTGTTGATGTTATACTTATTTTAGCTGTATATGCCAGCTATTTATTACGTAACTAGATGCTTGCTGAATGTTCGAAACATTTTAAGCTTGGCTGGAATAATCAAATCACATTATTTTACCTATTTTACGTATCCTGGATATAGCATGCAACTTTTCATTTGTCTACAAATCATTTTTCAGCACTTTTTCAGTTTATTTTTCAACTTCTATTATTCAGCTCTCACTTTAACCACTAATTTTTTGAGGATGAAAAATAAATACCTTGGATTCAGCATGAAAGTCAAACCGTTCATGTTTTATTTTGTTAGTTATTTCATAAATCTATTGTTTCCAGAAAAATGCTTTTAACTTGAAAAATCAAAAAAGAAAAGAATCAGGTTTATAAACTAAAACTTGCAATGTGTTTTTTCTTCATCGGATTTTAAATATCCAAAGTTCATAACCATTCATTGTTTTCGCATCTTAAGATTTAATGAAAAACATTCTGTGAGGAAGATTTGATATTTTAATTATTAATTTTGGGAGAGGTTTTTTATCGCAGGGCGATTCGTTGGTTGTAGGCGTAAATACGTGGGGTAACAGAGAAATTCAACAATTCCTTTATTAGTAAAAGCACTAACACAATACGTTGATAGAGAATGTCGTAAAAAACGGCACAAATTATATTCAAATCCTAATAACCTTCGCCAGATGTTTGATCAAATCAATCACCAAACATTTTTGCATCTACATTTAATCTAATCAAGATCGTTAAGCTATTAAGTTTATTACATTCTCTTTCTTACTACAAAAGACCAACTGTTATTAATCTCTGTTTTTCATAAATCAAATCCCTCCCCTAGATCCCAATTGTCATTCGAGTCGGTATATAAGCTAACAGATATTCCACCAGAAAAGGTGCGTTGGGCATTCATTCTTCGGACCCATCCTTTTCGGTCATTCTTTGTTCATTCATTCTTTCTACGTTTGGAGTTAACCTTTAATAATACCTTATTACTTATAATCATATTATATCTTTCACTGCGCATCGCTTTGCTGGTTTAACCCAAGTTTGAAATCAAATGAAATATTTGGCAGTCGATACATTTCACGAGAACAACTGAAATTGAACTCGTCTGGTTCTTGGCAACAAATTACACATATATTAAGATCTTTTAACAAGGGTAATCCTTATATAGCAATTATATCTTACATTATATGTGTTAAGGTGTGGGAGTGGCTTATAATTAGACATTTTTGTACAAAAGATAAATTGTCTAGACATTATAGTGAGTAACTTTTACAATGGATATCATCAAAGAAAGTACAGTGGGTTGTCTAGACTATAATGAGTTGTCTAGACTATAATGAGTTGCAATGGACATTACATGATAGATGCTCATAGTACATGAATTGATATAAAATCATAAGTCAGTTAAACCATTACGATGATTTGTAAAAGAATCAATGGATTGCTATATAAAGCATTGTTAACATTTATTTAGTGCTTAGCGATGTTAAAATCCGCGACACTGTTGGGTTTTCATGAAATATTTCATATTGAACTGATTGTGAGATCTGAATCCATTTGACCCTCCACACTCAAGAAATATAGATTGATGAAAATGTGAAAGAAAACAAGCATCAATTGATTAGCTTTCTTATCTTAAATTATTATTTCAGACATCTATTTTCCTCGTTAAAAGATTATTAAAAGTACTATGTAACTTGTGCCCTATTCAGTCATCTGAAAGCACACAATTTTTCGAGAGATCGTTAAACTCGATGCGGTCGTACAGCATTCATTTATAAACAGTTTGTTACACTGAACAATAAATTTGAATTATGAAGTAATTTTTCACTTGTAAAGTTACTAATAAAGGCACTAAATTAATTAGCCAGACTGAACTATCAGCCAGTTAACTAAAAACCAAGTTTTTAATATAATTACATTCAAGATCTTTACTTATTAATCAAACGTTCATAAAATTCAATTCTTATATATTCATGATGAATAGTTTTAAGATATTGAACGTATGTTTAAGCATAAATCTCACTATGACTTTTCATTTATCGAAAACTTTGTCGTTTTTTTTTTCCATTCCACTTAAAATTCTGAAATCTCTTCATTTTAAAAATAAAAAGGTCGAATATTTACCTATTCCCGTTTTTCATGTTCAAAATTTGGTTCCAGAATAGACGTACAAAATGAAAAAAGCATAACCAGGCAGTACATATTAGTATCGTAGTACCATCATTTGGAGGGTCAGCACTGAATCCACTGACATCCAAATGCTCCTTATTTTCTCATCATTCATTCTAATCATTATCATCACTAGTAACATCAATAGCAGTAATAATAACGGCAATATCAGATTGCTTATTAACTTTAGATCTTTTTATTTTACTGATCTCATTACCCATCATATACTCTTTACTGTATACGTTGTCTACCTTCCTAACAGTGGTTTATATTTCATCAGCATTTCGCTGACTTTGTATTGCAATTTTAATTGGTTTGATGCATTTTCAACATTAAATATTCTTTAAATCTTTATCCGCGTCTTTATGAAATCCGATAGAAAGGACACAGAACATGATCTTCGTCACTGTTAACAGCTTTTTAAGCCTAAATACCTTATAATCACAACACAAGTATCATCATGTATAATGTACCACTTCTTGTAAAGCAATTAGCACTAGCACTTTTTCTGAATTCTGGCCGATTCCTTTTTTTATATTCAAAAAGTCGCAAACTTATCAGCTCTAAGACCCTAAGCACCTAGAATTCCAATCGAGTCTTCCTGAGTTTCCACAATTTTATTATTCTTCCTCTCTACACAAACTGTCGTAAAAACGACACATTTAAATTACATTCAAACCCTAATATTTTTTGTCAAATATGTGATGAATCAATCACCAAATATTCACCAAGCATTTGTAATTAATCTATGCAATCATGCTGAATTATGTCAATTCCTCTTTTCCCACACAACAAAAAAAAAATAACTAGTCTTGTTAACCAATCTTCGTTTAACATTCATGGAAATGATTTCCACCGGATTTCTGGTTGTCAATTTATATGAACTAACCAACCTTTCCTACTAACCATTTTTTGGGTGGTTTTAGGGGGTACACTAATAAAACTTTAGTGTTTTATAATTACATTTTATTCATTAAGTGTTGTTATAATGTTGATTTTGCGTTAATTTTTAATGTTGATTTGTTGGTCTAATTACCCAAGCTTGAGCTCGGCAAAATAAAATATCCAGCAGTCAATAAATTCCACGATACAAACTCTTCATTTCCACTCAATGTTAGATGTACCTAATTAATAGGAATTGAAATCGGCTTGAAAAACCACATTTCTTGTCATTTATTTTCATAAGAAACCACTGGTTTCCACGCCAAAGTATGCTTATTCTTTTAATTAGCAGTTCATAGATGCTCTTCGATGGAATGATTTACGATCCCAAATAAAAGCAGTCAAGTAGAACAAAACTGAATTTGCAAATGATTTCACTGTATCGGCGATTTAACGTTGAACATTTCATAAAGGAAAGTGTGATTCGACTTTGATTTTAATGAAAATAATTTAATAATCATCTGAAATCAATCAATTGCCAATCTGCGCAAGAACCACACTAACAGATTGAAACTAGAACAATTCGAAACAATTAGATTATGCATTACTGATAGGATAATTCATTAGCACGAAGAGCTTCGAAGCGTTTGAATTTTATATTTTCCACAAAAAAAAAAAAAACAAAAAAAACATATAGTATGCGGGAAGCAACACAAATTATTCCTTTAAAAAAAAACTGATATAGCTGCTGAGCTTTATTATATTTTCTAAACATCGGGAAACAAAAATTAATTTTATACAAAACCTGGTATCAAAATCGAAGAGCTTTTGTTCGATAGGATTGAATAATGAATTTAAGCGTAGGAAGTAATCAATAAGTAATTAATTGGAAACTGTTAGTTACATGATACGGAAAACTCATTGCTGTAAGAGGAAATACTCAAAGATTTTGTTATAAACCTCGCTCAGGAAATCGGAAATGAGCGAACATATTACACTTGTTGCTCAGTATTTCCTTATTCTGAAAAACTGGATCCCACAACTTTGAGAAACTAGATAAAAATCAAACAGTGAAATGAAATAAGACATTTCACCTCAGAACTCAAGGAAACTGAGCTAATCTGGAAGTCAGCCAATATTAAATTGATTTCCTGAAAATTGGAACAAATTTTTTTTAAACTAACCATACTAGCTGTTTGAACACAATCGAATCACTTTGTTATAATATTGAGCAATAATTGAGCTACAAGCAAATTAAGCAAGTTGCCAATTCAAATATATTTACCAACATGATCGAATGTTTTCTTTTTATCATATTAATCGGGATGCGATGAGCTGACAATTCTATGATCTCATTCAACCATTAATTTAAAAAGTTTGAAGCTCAAAATATAGATTGTTTGTTGGGCTTAAATCGGTCGACAGCTTGTAACATTCTTCTCAATTCCATTTTGTATATTTTTCACGCTCTTACAGATTATTTTATCGGAGGGCAGAATTTAAAAGCACATCGTTCAAAACAGATTTATTAAGAAAAAATGGAATAAACATATTTCATTAAAAGAAAAAACAGGTTGGTCAGTTTAAAATAAGGTGGTTTTTCAAATATGCAACAGAAAATTTTGTTTAGTAATGAAAAGAAAATACCGAACTGTCATCATCTATAGAAAGGGCATCCATCCAGCAAACATTCGAGCAAGATTTTCTGGGTCACTTGCCTCTTTAATCAGATGAGAAACCTAAGAAAACTGCCACGAATTTCTGGGATAAAGAGTTTCACTTTTCAGTGGGAAATTGATATTTTGCTTTTATAGTGTGAATTACAAAGTATAATTCGATACTAGCGATGAACAGCCAACAAATTAGTATAAATAAAATTCAACGAAAGAATTTCGCAATTAAATATGAAAAGCTACCTGAAGCCACTTTAACTACTTTAACTCTAGGTGATTACCTGTTGCGAGGGATCCATATAAATTCTATTTTCTACTCCTGCCAATTTATCGCGCAATCGGCAAATTGCAAGGGTTGCAAACTGATTGCCATTTTCGCCACCAAGATATTTCGTTAGTGGATCATGTAAAAGTACGAGTGCTAGACCAATTAATGCCTGTAAGTTTCAAAAATGTTATTTTTAATGGTACTTGAATAATACTAAAAATTTTCTGACAAACCTGAGAATTCTTCCGCAAACAATCCAAAGTGTCCACTGCTATACTCCTAAATTTTCCATTGATGCCCTCAATCAAAATGGGATCAACGATTTCTCTTGTCAAACGAAAAGGTACTCGCTCAGGTACTAACAAGTTGCGTTTACCAAATTCAAATACGATTCCTTAAAACCACAAAACAGAGCGTTAAAATAATTGAGAATTTAATACATATGTATAATAATAAAAAAAATCATGGAATCAAAAAACATTTGTGAAAAATGAAACCTTTGGAGAGAAATTTTAGAAGCAACATAGAATCTCACATCAATGTAAAAGAGAAAATTCATAATAACCAAGAAAAAATAAATCCAAAGAAAAAATTCAGAAAAAAATCATTGTAAGATATATAAAGTATAACATGAAAGCTAAACATTACCAAGGTCGATGTGAACAAGTCGACCAGTTTCTTTCTCAACCATAATATTATTCAAGTGGCGATCACCCAAACCGACTATATAACCCACTGTAACAAAAAAAAAAAAAACACTGCATTCACTTTTGTTAAAGAATACTACGACTGTTAATAGTTCAACATATTCATCCCAAAAATTAATCCTATAAAATATTTGTTAATTACAATAGAGGAATATACCTATAGACCACCGGGCTAGAGATATTGTATAGTCTTTGATACGAAAGAACCACTCAAATGGATTCGAGAAAGCATCATAAAAGAAATGCCGAAATACAGGATGAATGCCCTTACATATTTCTTCGTAAGTTTCCACAATACTGGATTGATTTGCATGAGCCTATACCATTATACTATATACAGAAATCATAAAATAAACACATAGAGCAACTAAGAAAAGCATTTCTTGTCTTAGGTCCACGACGAGAATATTGCATTTATTCGCATCGTAGGATCATTTACTAACAGACTTTTTTGATGATCAAAAAAAAAAAAAAAAAAAAAAAACCTGTGAAAGTTTGAAGCGTGCAGTAGCTGCCGTCATTTCAAGAGGATAAAGCTTTTTGTGCATACCACTTTTCCGATCTGCTCCACATATATAGTTACCTAGACCAGATAATACTTAATATTTCAAATTACATTTCACTGATTAATATATTTGCTGAAATAGCCATTTTGATCACCGCTTAGTAAGAGACGATAAAGTTTAAGAAATTTGCTGAGATCTAATTTAGATTTATATCTTAATATTTTTTAAATTTGCCTTTTGTTCCACAAGAGCTGAAAAACAAAAATTAGGAAAAATAAAAATCTATTATGATTTCATTTGGATCTAACCATACGGAGTCTGTTGACCCAACACACGAAAATTTATCCAATACTCACAAAGCGAAACTGTCCCCAAACAAAATTCGATTATTCCAGCATTCGAATTAATTGGCATGACATGATAAGTACGTAGTGGAAATGTTTTTTTTCCATCCATCAACAGAATGTTCACCACCGTAAAAAGCTGTTCAACAAGCGAATCTTGCCGTAAATCCTCGTTCTAATACATTTTATACAAACTAATAAATCGTAGCATGAACACAAAAAATGAAATTCGTTAAATGAATTACCTTGAAAATTAATTTGCGAACTTTTCCATCACTTCCAACCACTGCAACTATTGTTGGTTGTGTTAAACCATCTGCAACTATGACTGTTGATTCAATTTTCACAAAAGTGATAAGTTGCGAAGAGTCATCAGTCAGCTGAAACATATCAACTAAAAAAAAGAACACAATTTCCTTAGAAAAAAACCAGAAATGATATCCTAAACCACCACAAATTTTTTATTAAAATTAACTGACCGGTTGTTCGATAGCCGGAATGGGAACATTTCGAAGGCTTTGAATTTCATTTAACAATACAGAACCCGTAATGGAAGCTCTTGATCCTGTAAGAGTGCATAGAAATTGGAATAAAAAAAAGTCATAAAAGAGTAACTATTTTACACAATTTCTGGAAACTAACTTGCATATTTCTTATTCTGAAAGGCTTTAACAGATGAAGTTGCAAATTGTGCGTATAAAGAAAATGCTTTTCGCATGATCGTTATTGGATTTGTGAGTGATTTATCTTTCGTGGAAGCATCTTTTAACAAATCTTCTACTCGATGTAATCGACCCTCAAAACAATAGAATTACGATGAAAATTCCTCCGTCAAAAAAAATTTACTGGCTTTGCAACATTTGTCAAGTGGGTCTAAGAAACTGAGAAAACCTGAGAATCTGCCATCCCATGCACCGAGCTGGTATAGAAGAGTATGTGTTGAAGGACGTGATATGGATAGTCGAACAGTGCTGCTGAGATCATCTGCAAATTTTCTACTCAATAATTCCGGAATTGTAGATAACTTATAAAAACAGCAATAACAGTAATAATTTCACCTCCCTCACAATTGGAGCCAGAGGCGCATCATCGAAGAAATGTGAACAAAGGTGACTTATGAGAGGTATCCAAGGACGTGATTGAAATCGATTTAAACGTACCTCAATCAGCAAAATTATGTAAACATTAATCAAAAGATAGTTGCAATATTGAGCAAAGTTCAGTAACATAGATAGAATGGTCGATTTAGAATAAAGAATTTAAGCTTCTCAACAGATTTTTGCAGTTCTCATTTCTTGATACATAACTTACCTTCAACGGCTCCAACAAATTTTCGTTATGTTTGGCTTTAACGAAAAATGATAAAATTCGGTATGGAATATCCGCAGCACTTGCATCAAGTTCTAAGGATGCTAGATAAGCATCCAAAGCCGTTAAGATCTCAAATAAGCAAATAATAACCCAACACATTTCTCGTAAAAAATTCTGATTGGCAAATTTTAGTAAAATTTCTACCAAGCAGTATCAACAATCATTAAGAATCTTGTTTTAGCTACTTATAAAAAAAAAAAAAAAAAAAATGGAATGAAGGACAAGTTCAGAAACCAGGGTATTTCTGTCGTTACAGCACTGCTCCAGTTCCTTTTCTTCAAACATCTTTTCTTTTCTAATTCGCTTTTCCTCAAGCATCTTTCCATGCTTCAGCGTTTTCCCTTGTCTATAAATAAGATGTGAAAAGATGTGTAAGAATATTATTAATATTATTCCTCCGAGTTCCACCTAAATTTATTGCCAACTTTTCTCTTGAGTTTCATCCAAATGGTTAATATTTTTTTTTAAAAAAAAACGAGCTGCTAGCAACCTACGCTGAAACAGTGGCAACAAGCTGCGGGCAACAGAACAGAAAAGAAATACAAATGAGCTCAGTATCCATTAGAGCCTTATGAAGATCGAAGAATGAAACTAGAATAGATGATTCTGATAACCAGTAATTTGTTCTTTTCTACTCAGATTTGAATAAAATATGGATTCAACAATGAAATTCATCGAACATGATAGCCTGAAGTTTTTCTTCCTTTATTGCTTCTAGTTCTTTTTCCCAATTCCTAATTGCTCGTTCTTTAACTTTAAATGTTTCAGAAGAACAATAATCTTCCAGTAATAACAATTTCTTTTCAGCATTCATTGCAAGCTTCCTATAAGCTTTTGCTACCAACAAAACATTTTCATATCCACTATCCAATGCATTTTCCACAATCTGAACAATGCATTTGTAAAGACTAGCTTTCCCTGCGAAGTAGTAATAAAAAATACAAGAAGTAAATAAGGCAAGATATGTTTGGAGCTTTCATTTACATAATAAATATCTCTCTGATGCGAATTTAGTAGCAAAAATAAATATGATCAATTATATAAGAGTGAATTGAAACAAAATACTTTAATTTCGAAGATATATACCATTTGCAAAGCTTCAATGGCTAAATCCGATCTATACGCTGCTACATCAAATTCAGCTAATTGCATTCGAGCTTTGAGCGAAAGTTCAAAAGAATTACTGCTGTAATGATCGCAGATTGGCCGTGCGGAGCAAATCTGCGACAAAAGCAACCGAGCAGCTTCTTCGTATCCACATTTCTTCAAGATACGAGCTTTTGTGATGTCGTATTCACGATATACATTCCCATCAATATCCATAAATTTCCGGTACTTCTCAATAATTTGAAGAGCACGCTGGAAAAAAAAAAGTTTACAAAAGTGAAAGGCGGAAAAGAAAAAACAAATTATAAGGCTCACTTCGTAAGCATTTTTTTTGCAAAGGTGCTCGGCTCGAGCCACAACCAACGGAGTAAGGATTCGTGCTGGAACACATCCATCTCCATACTTGCATACTATCCATGGGCAACTCAATATAGAGCCTCGAACTGGAGGTGTGTTTCGCTGCACTAGATCATTCACTTCACAACAGAGACTTAAGTCGTTTATTAAGTCTCGAGATACAATCCACGATTTGGCAATTTCATCACACTTAAGCTTGCTGAAATGAAATTGAACCATGGCGAGAAAATTAGAACAGCAAAATACTTGAGTTTATCTTTCAAACAGAAGATAAAAAACAGAAGTCACTGAAGACTATTAAAGCATGATGTGCAAATACTCACATGGCAATATCAGATAACAGCTGAGATAATTCCAATTGTTTCTTTAACTGAGCGTACATTATGGAATATATCTGATGACCAGTGTTTCCCTTGGTGTATCTTTAAAATATAGTGGAAATAAGATAAAATACTGCAAAAAAAGTTTAACATAAAATTTCATAGTCCTTATGATAACAATAAATTGATTAACCAGTAAACAGTACATTTTTAAGAAACCTTTATCCCATTGTTGGAGTTCAACACAAGCAAGGCTAGCCATTTCTTGGAATTCCGATGGAACATCCAAACCAGCATAATAAAATGCTAAAGAGTGAAGGTTTTTTAAATCAGTCGTTGGCACTAATGAAACCAAATGTGACCAATTACACTGGTTTTTTGCCAAAATCATTTGACACTGAAATCATTAGCTCATAATAATTTTTTTTTTTTTGGAAATACGTATTTGTCGTCTAACGCCAATTTAAAATTCATGAATTTAGGACTTTGGAGAACAAGCGGGTGACAAGGAACAAATTTAAATCAATAAACCAGTGAATTTAAACAAGAACCAAAGTTATACTTTGAGCTGGGAAACTAATTCAAATTTTACTTGGTTATTATCTTTTATTTGTAGAGAAAGTGGACGTAATGAATCTGCATCATCCATTTTTATCAATATCTCCATAAATAATTCGGCTGGCTTGTCAGAATTTTCCTTTCCATCGAGCATGTCGAAAAACCCGCGATTTTCATTCAAAATATGCATTACTGGCCGTATTGGATCACTTAAACTAAAAATGAACTAGCAGAATATAAAAAGGAAAAAATTATTTTCATTATTCAGTGTAAACAGTTAAAGCATTTAAACAGTTTAATCTATCAATATACATAACAACCCTACTGACTTTTTCAACAGGTTGGTAGGCAAAAGAAACATGCAATCAACCACGATCTGAAAAAGTAGTGAACATGATATTTACCGATCGAGGTAGCAATGCAGAAAGTAATCTGCATCATTCGCCATATTGATTTCCAAACAAACTTTTGATAACTTCGATAAATCAAATGGTAACCTCTGGAAACCTAGCTCTGATGCCAAATTTACATGTGCTTGTCGAATACATGCCACTATACTAATTACCAGTGGGTAATCTACAATTTCCTGGTGTGAAATTTCAAATGTTGCGAAAAATTTAATCTGAATATTAAAAAAAAATCTTTTTAAACAATTATACTTATAAACTTGAATTTACCATTTCTAGTTAATCTTTCAGGAAAATTCGTAAGTAAATAATTCACATCCACGCAAAACTGTGATATGTCATGCCTTTCTTTGTATGCCGTAGCGAAAAGATAAGGTAGCAAAGTAAAAGCCAAAGCAGGCTGCAGAAAAAAAAAGCCATTAAATGTATGAGGAGAAAACTATACATTTTTCACCTTTTGAATACCAATATAAGTATAAATGACAGCTGTAATTGATGTGATAATGGATATTATAGCATTATTTATAGCAATGCATCTAATGGTTATAATATGACATCCACTGGGCAGAAACATGGACCTCTGAAGAAAAACCACGTTTTCAATGTTCTGTTTAAATCATCTCCGATAATTAAACCACATACGATCCGTATCAAATCGTTTCATCCATGTAATGTATTTGGCATTGGCTTCAGCTCGATAAAGCTTTGCAAATTATGACTTAATATATTTCGATATTGTCATTTCTATGTCACGATATCTAGATACAATTTTATGAAAGATGTTTTGAAAATAAAAACGAAAAAAGGGAATCTTGAAATAGATTAACTAACAACATAATTCGCGATCTTTAATAAAATATTGGCGTATGATAAATGCAAAAGATCAGCAAACTGTTTAACGTAATATAATACGAAAGCTTCTTCACAGTCGCCATTTCGTGACATTTCCTGACGTTACCAGCATTGGTAATTTATAAAGGAAGTTGTAAAAATTTAGAAAAAACAATAATAAAAATCCAGTTACAATCATTAAAGCAGTACTTAGCAAATCGAAAGTTAGGGTGTCTCAGATTGTATTTCTATATTTGCTTCCTTCTGCAAAAGGACTCACTGAATCGTTTTCAACAACCGCATACTGGCTGCTATTGTTGCTAAACGCATTATTCACATACACGTTAAAAGTGGAGCTTGATAGGATCTGACATATCCACGAATAGACTTCGCATGGATATAACTCACTAAAAATTTATTTCGTCCGGATTTACGGATAGAAATTGTTCAGAATATTTTTGAGACATTTAAGAATTAAAAAAAATGCAAACTTACAAAGGGTTGAAAAATAGTTCAAGCAAAGATAATGCAATCAGTTCTTCCAGCTTTATATCCATTGGAAAGATATGATAATACGAGCTCACGCAAAAAGAATCGAAACGAGTTAAACACGGAGCAATGAACTTTCGCAAAGTGGGGTATTTAGACCAAATTTGTAATACTTGACCTAACACCTTTACTGTGTCTATGAAACAAACCATGGTAAATACAGTGGTTACTGATTCTAACAATAAACACACGAAATGTAGAAAAAGCTAACCTTGATCGTCCAATTTGCCAAAATTCTCATACAGCCACTTCCAGTATGTCTTGCAGAGTAAAAAATTGAATCGACCAAGAGTTTCCTAAACATCAGGTTTGTTTCAACTAACTTCACGTGACTTTAAAATAACTAATGAGGAATCACAATTTATTAGTTGATACCTTAAGTAAATGTTCAATTCGAAAATGATTTTTTTCAAAAATTTTCATGTTTATTCGTGCCATGATTTGCTCCTTACAATCGGAGTCATCTATGAAGACGTCGAAAACACAGTACAATTTTTCCATTGCCATGTCACAGTTTAATTCCAGTAGTAAATCATAAAGATCAAACCAGCTTTGCAGCAAGTAAGTGATGCTTTCAGTCCTGAAAAAAATTTTTGAAAAAAATAATGTATCAATTAAAGGAATTTCGTTAAAATATTATCTCTCATCTACTCTTTACCAGGAGATATCAACACATATGTTTACCTCTAAAAAAAATTGCAACATATCAGAATTCTTTTCGATTTGTACTTGTGAGAGAAATGGAAACGGTGAGAGTTCTTTCCACTTCTCCACTTCCTTCTCTCACAAGACAAAGATAAGCTAACGGAGGATAAACACGATTGGTTACATTGAAATCTTCCCTAAAGGAATAAGGAAAGTTTCAGTTATTGTTACATCAGATTATAAAAATGCACTAGTCTTCATTATATTCATTATGAAATCCATTTATTATAATAATTATATTAAAACACATTAATCCGAAAATATGAATATGATCACTTCGAAAATTTCAAATTTTTTTACCAAGTGCTCGCCAAACAACTTCTTGCTGCTAGTGAACAAAGTGTTGCACAATTCTCAATAATGAAGAGCTTCATCGAAATGCTGCATGTACTTAAATCACATTTTAAGAAACTTTTCAGAGCTCGAAATATCAGAAATTCGTATCCCAGGAATTGGCAAAATCGCAGTAATTTTCGTAATTTCACAAAAAAACTACACAGATTCATCGTTATAGCAGCAGCAAACGATTTCTTGAAATCTAGTCGGTCGAACAATTCGCTCAATCTTAAATTTCCTCCTATTAAAGTGTCCAGAATTCATCAAAGATAATAGACTGACTCAGTCAAAATCCAATTTTAAGATAAAAACTCACCCAGAGAGATGGCTTAAAATAGCTTACATATAAAATCTACATTAACAGATATAAATCAGGACTGACGTTTTTTCTTGAACAAGAAAAAGTATATCCAGATACATCATGTGTGATGTGTTCACTTCTTCTGCATTTACGTAACGTTGAAATGGTTGTCTATTAGCAGAAACTGCCCGTATAACTTCAAATCTCCTGCAAAGAAAACCAGATTAAAAGCCAATATTCCCTGTATGTAAAACGTAATACCAACATACTTCAAATCATCTGCCGGTAGAAAACCGTTATTTGGTGAGGGTTGTACTTCATAACAAATGGCAGCTGCTTCAAGGAACAAGTCGATTATTGCATCGAATGTTGGAAAAATCCTTATCAGATGCTGTAAATCGATGAAATCATTTATCTAACGAATAAGCAAAGAACTGAAGCTAATAGAAACATTCAACTGAAGATGATTTATTGGGACTTTCTACAGAGCACAACGTGTGAAACAGTGTTTCAGAATCAATAAAAACGATAAAATTCAAATACCTTATACAAATATGATGTCCCCACACTAATGAGAAACGCTAATATTCTGAGATGAATTTTATGCTTCAGTGGAGGCATATATATATTTTTGACAACGCTAGCGCGAAATTCGTCCGGGAGATCAACACTCATGACAAATTTTGCCAAACCTGATTGGTCCAGCCAAACTGAGCAATGTAAACACTTGTGCAAAGTAGCTAAATTATTGAATAAGACACCGCAAAATTTCCAATCTTCCACCTAAATTCATATTAATTCATACTGAAAAAGTTACGCACTTCATAAATCACAAGCATGTTGAATAGTTAAAATTTCTAGAAATTCAAGATGGAATGTCATTGGAAAATGATCTTTTACCGGAAGATATGCAAGGATTAGCTCGGTAATAATAAGTTCATTGACATTTCTTTCCGACTTTTCTTCTTCACCTTGTAACATGGCTGTCAAGGCGATTGTTCTGAAAACTTACAAATGTCGCGCTCAATAAAACCTCTTAATTCTCTTGATGATTGATGGTTTAAGAAGAACCCTAAACCTTCGATGATGAAAAGAAAACTAGTAAAGACATACATAAATGTGCTAAACATAAATTATGCTTATGTGAAAATGAACACAGAATGAGCCATACTTTGCATGTCTTTTTCGTAAATAAAAACCTAACCGCAAAGTGGTTATAAATTTCCGCCTTTCCACTACAGTGCCATGCTGAATAAATGGTTCAACAATAAACACGGCTTCACTAAATGAATTGCAACAGCGAACTGCTTCACTAACATAAGTCGACACAATATCCGATGCTGCATCAATTCTTCCTGATAATTCCTTATTCCAGTCCTAGACCAAAGTCTCACAAGTTCAGAAGTTTTTACATATAAGTTATCGGAATTTTTGAATCCAACAAAACGTCACTTAACTGCACCATTATTAGTAAAGAATAAAGAAGAACAGAGCGTCAAGGGAAGAAAATTAAAAAAAGAAAAAAAAAACACTTGGACAACTTTGAATTTTAAAAATCACCTTTTTATCAGCGAATCTACATTTAACGTCAATCAGTTGTTGTAACAATATTTGTTTTAGCTTCAAACAAATCGTATTTCTTAATTTTTCATCAGCTGCCTGCCAGCTTCCTCTAACTCCTAATGGTAGAAGCCATTCATCAACATCAGTCAATTTATCATTGCGGATAATTAGTGGTAGGTCCACAGACATAACCTATATGAATTACCAACAATAAAGATCAGAAGAACAAACGAAGCTAACAAATTTGGTTACAAAATTAAAAGAGCAACTGAACAAATACCTGTAGCACGCTTAACAGAGGATCACAATCTGCGTCATAGATGCGAAAGTAATAAAAAAAGTTTTGCACTGTGAAAAATAAACTGATTTGGTTCCGTTCTAAATAGAATAATACAAGGCAAAATAAATCATGCTGACATAATATCAATTCACAATAGTCGAAATAAAAATTCTAGATATATACAAAAACTTTCCTTTACTTAACGGTTTTACAGAATTTCTTATGTCAGATCTTACAATACAAGTGCGAAGCAATGGTGAAAAAAATAAAACGTAACAGAAAGTAAAACGTTTTTCCAGAAATTTCATTCATGAATATTTTTTGCATCTTCTCAAAAAAAAAAAAAAAAAATTGTTCGGATTTCCAAATTTGAATTACAAAGATAGATCGATTAGAAGCCTTGTCAATGAGAGTTATAATAAAAAGATGAGTTTGCAGGCACAGCTCTTCTTTCAATCTATTTTCTAATTTAGTGCCATTTTTGTAAAACCAACAGTAAAACTTACGAAGTGTTTCGGTATCTGTATTTTCCAACTTTATATTTTTCCATAATTGCATAAAATTATTTCCCACAAACTCCACCAATTCGTGGACAAAATATTTTTTTCCGGCAACTTGATGTGATGTTTCGGAAACAGGAATTGAAAAAAGATTCATAAGATAACGCTCTAATTTTCCGATATCTGTAATTTGGTTCTTATATTACTTCACATTAAACAACACCACAATTTCCTAATACTTTTGTTCTTAGACTTGAACGATTAAACATGGCTTCATTTAAAGAATTTCCTGAAGTTCTGCCAGTAAATAAATTTTGGTTAAATAAATTTGAACTCATATCTAAACCAACTGAATCTTCGCATCGAATCATAGAAATACTTTACTTGATTCGGGTGATTCATGATGGAAATCAGGTTTAAAACACAATATTTCTAAAACTGCATTTATTGGAACATTCGCTGGTTTCACTGAAGCCTTCAAAATAAACTTCAGTATTGCACATCGGAAAGTCCATCCTCTCACTGCAGTTTCATCAATAGGCCTGATTCAAATATTCAATGTTCGTTAAAAAGTTAGGTAAAATACTGACTGAACAACAGCTATTGCAAAAAACAACTGATATTAGATGAAACTGGAGAATGAAAAACAGTGTACTGGGTTTCAAAATGTTCATCAAATTCGAAATTACTCAACACATGAGCCAAAAAAGAGGCTATTCTAGCAGTACAGATATTCAAGCGACTTATATTGCTCCAGATAATTTTAGTCACATTGGTATCCTCCAGTTTTAACTTCCTCGCACCTGAATTTGAAATTAAGTTTACAAATACTTTCTCAAAAAATGGATATAATAAAACCTTGACATATCAAAAAGCGTAC